AGAGAATAATATTCAAAACTTTTATTAACTTGTAGATGACTCTTCGTTATGAGGCTTAAATATAATTTTTCTCATGTAAATAATTCACGATGGCATGATACGCCAATAACCAATTCATTCTTCGAAATGGATTAGGGTCTTTCGAGTCAATCTCTATCAGGTCCATCATAGGTGAAACCAAGTCCCGTAGAAGAGGGGCTAGATGATGTTGTGGAGGGATCGAGTGGCCCTGTAACGGTGCCGAATAATATGGTGGGAGCTCCGAATTGTATTGTGATGGTGTTGGATGATACGACGGATGAGCAAGGTTGCATCAAGGTGGCGTTAGATCCTCTCATTGTAGGGGAGGCCATTTTGTGGAAGCAGTGGAGGGTCAAACAGTTCCTTCCTCTCTTCTCTGGCCTACTGGGTAGAGATGAGTCTCTCTAAGATCTCGAAGAGCCGATCGACATCATCTCGAAGTGACCCATCACGGGCTACTCTGTTCAGTGAGGGATCTCATCTCTTCATATCTTTGTACTTATTTTTTATAAGGAAGGATTGGGCGATAGTTCATATATGGTGTTTTTAAGTCTTTCTGTAAGAAATGCCTCCAAGGAACGCGGCTCTAATACCAACTGTAAAAGCCTGGAACTTAAATGGAAATAAAGTCATAAATTAAATGCGAAAGCGAAATAATATAGTTAGGGTTCACATTTCTTACACAATAATTTAGAATGTCTAATAGGACTATGAGAATATCTCTTCTAAAATAACAAACAAAAATCAAAGAAATAAATGAAAGGCAAATAATTAAGCAATCCTATGACGACCTGTACTAGCTCTTGGAGGAAGTCCAAGTGGTGAACTATTCACAACCCTCTTGTTGATCGGGATATGGATTTTAGTTCTTTTGATCTGAAATATTTAATGAATGGGTGAGCTATACTAGCCAAATAAGAATATCACACCAATCATAAATACAAAAAACTGAAGATTGATATAAATAAAAAAAAAAACAACCAATGGAACCCTTAATTTATTGTAAATTTATTTACTATAAAGAAAGCTATTTATTTCATATTTATGTAACAAGTCTCTCCCACCAATAACTTATAAAAACTCATATTTAAACACTATTATTTATCACATAGAAGATAACAAGAAACGATCATTTTATATTTTTACTCGCTTACCGGTACCCCTGGGGGTCCATAGGGATGTTCTCTTATTCGTGAACCTAATATCCAATTAAACAGTTAATCAATCATTCTCATAACCCGTCTGGTATGGGTGTCAAAAATGTCAACACCTGGATACCCCGTCTGATATGAAAGTGAACCATATCTCCCAAACCTTTCTGGTAAGGGACTTCTCAGTCCCATCCAACTGAGATAACGTTCACGGTAGGGTTTTCTATATACCGGGTCCGTCCTACCTTTTTTCAAGTACCTAGTAAGTCTTTCCTATACAAATTTCCATCAGCATAATAATCAATCATGCAATAACTATATCTCATTTTATACTCACAATTTACTTAAACAATAATATAGTTTCACACCGCCAAATAACCAATGATCGGGATACCAGCACGCAATGCAAGGGTAACAAATAACAAAATAACCAAAAAGATCCTAAAAACCATCAATTGAGTTGTGCACAGTATAATAGTAAATAAATATAGGCAATATATGGAAAATAAATAGGAAATCGAAATGACTGTGAACTAACCAGTTCTAGTTCCACTAGCAATCTGTAATTATTTTTAGAGTTCTCTAATTTTTCATAAAAATACATAATTATTAATTATTAAGCTTCAATTTACCGTAACGGAAAAAAGAGTAAGGGATCCTTACCCGAATCGGTATCCGAAACACTGAACTTTCTACTACGCCTACTGGCAGTTCCCGGGTTTCCTGAATTATCCCTGCAGAATCCAAAACACTTGTCACGTACCTAAAAATACCCTAGGAATCCAAAATCGGTGAAAAAAATCCTTTCCGGCATGGCACCACTACCGTGCTCCGGCAATGGCATCACCGTCCGTAGTAGTGGTTTGCCTCGGTCTAGCCGTTTTCAATTGGGTTTATACGTATCCTTGTGAAAAAATACATTATGGGGTCTCGATTGGCTGAAAAAATCAGAAAACTAAAACTTACTAGCAGTAGGTTTTCTATGTGCGGCAGTTCTACTAGCTCACCTTCGCGGCTGGGATTTTTTCTTCGATCAATTTGTAGAAAATAGAACAATAAACACAACGGTGAAAAATCGCACGAAACGAAAAACGAAAAGGGGCTCATCGGAAGAGGTTGTCGGTTTTGCCCGCAGCGGCGCTGCCGGGCTTTGCCCGCAATTTTTGTGGCTCACCCGCTGTTCTTTTTGCTCTAATTTGGTCATGAGGGTGCTCGGAATCAAATTCTGAGCGGATGAGAACTTTTACTTTTTTTGGCAGTCGAAGGTGGCTCCGGTGCGGTGGCAATCGGCGATCGACTCCCTTCTCCGACAACTGGTTCTTCTTCTCCAACGGGAGGTTTGCAGCTAGGGTTTGGGTTCAGTATGATATGAAATATTTATATCCGTATCGTGTTAATATGGGTCATTCATCACATTTGATCTCGACTCTCTGATCGTGTTTAAAGAAGAAATGAATCTGAACTGTTCATCAAGATTTGATCTCGACCGTCCGATCGTGTTTAAAATGGAAGAAATCTAGGTCGTCCACACGTACGGAATCGATCCTGGACCATTCGATCGCGGGGTATGCGGATCGCCCACATGGCATCCCATGTGCCATTGATGTTAGCGTGCCTTGTCACGCGGTGTACTCCAGTTCATCGGAGTTGCTTACTGGACAATCCTATGTGGCAAAATTTTTCTTATTTGCACTCTGACACCTAAGTTTCGATTTTTCTTTGAAAAACACCTCACAAATCCAAATTTTTACCTATTTTTTTTCAAAATTATTTTCAATTTCATCCCTAACCTATTTTTTTCCATAAATTCAACAAAAAATTAAAATAAATTAATTTAAAAATAATTTTTTTATATATTTAAAATGTTAAAATTAATTACGGGCCAAATTCCATGCCCGAGTACTACATTTTTAATTAAAAATTATACTAATAAATATCTAACTAAACCTCTATAAAAATTAAAACTGATGTAGTAAAAAATTTTACACTTCCGAAGTTCATCAATAATTTCAGCTGCATCTTAGAATTTCATTGTGTGACTTTAACTTGAGTTGTAAATTTTATATATATTTTTATTAAGAAATTGATGGTGTTATTTTTTCATCAGAAGTTTGATTGTATTATTATTATATTAATTATTGAAATAAATAAATTTCACTTAGAAAACTAGAAAAATAAGTTACCAGTGGAGGATGAAGGTAATTATTGGAAAGATCAGTGTTATCTTCACCAAATGGGTAACTATAGTGGTTGGACTGAACATATGATTACAAATATAAAGTTTGTTGAAAGTGTTTAAGCATGCTATTATTGTTATATTAATTCAAGGGTCATAAATTTTCACAATTAATGCGACAAGAAACTTTAGATATAGTCAAATACATTATTGGCAATATCCACTGTGTCAGTAACAGATAATGATGATTTATAGCTCTTCAAATGCATTTAGTTTCAAAATTCAACCACTCATTTTTAACAAACTCTATTGTAAGAGGTCAGTCTTTATTTTTACACTAATTTTAAAGTAAATTAAAATGGGTCTATAAACTTTAGTCCATTACTCAGCCGAACGAAATTTCTTTTTACCTTTCAGTATATGTAGGTATAGGTGTACAAGGGCGATCAATTTATGGTCATTAAAATCTTCTGGTCGGTCCACTTAATAGATTAATCAATCAATTAAAGGTCAGACTATGTTTGGATATTCCATCATGAGCAGTGTAATGATAAGACATTTCAAAGATGGAAATTCTTGATGGTTGAATATAGCTTGTATCTAGTGTTGCTTTTTGTCTTGAACGGCATCTTTAAAGGTTTGAAGTAAAATGGTTGGTAAAGAAAGGTAGAATGGTTGAGTCAGACATCAAGCCAGTAGACTTATACTACTCCAACCACCAGTAATTACTTACTTTCACATATTAAAAAAGAACCTATAATTGTGTATATACATATAGATATGATTGTATTCAAAGATATACGGTATCCATATTTCAAGAACACTGTATATAGTCAGTCAATCCTTGATACGGATGGTGGTATAAGAGAATAGCTAGTGTTTATATAGCCGTTCTTTCTACGCCTAGATAACATGCCATTGCAGAGTAATTTCATCGACTGGTGATAGATCGTTTTCTGTCTGCCCTTATTAAGCATTGAACGGCAAAAATCAAATGTTGCTGGTTTGGGTCAAAATTCAATTTATAATTTTGGCTTTGATGGTCATGTGTGAACAGATACTTGCTCCGGTAATATAGAAGATACTTCTCTCACAACTCATAAGAATGAAGTATAATTAATACTAATAGTGAAACACCACCTAAAAATAAAAAGGAGCTTGTCAACTAATCTCCGTTATTTTCTCATACTTAAATTGAATAAATATTCCCTTCTTGTTTCTTCTGCTTATTTTAAGGACTGCGTCACATCTACTTCAGCTTTTTAACTCATATAATAAGGACCCCCAAACTCCCACTTCACCTTTTTGAATTCAAATTCTGCTTGTATATTATCCACCAGACCAAGAGCAAGAACCCCTGTTATTCTGACAACCTGCTTCAATTCTTCTCTGCTTCATGACAAAACTTGAAAGCAGCTGAGTCCCTGTCCGGTACTTCCCACCTTCAACTTATAATTCAGCATCTAAGCGCTCTGCAACACCACATTTATTGAACTTGTTATTTAATAATTTAATTGCCGAAAGCCCGCCTGCATTTGTTTATTCCCCTAGTCCTCTTCCAGGACAACTTACTCTTCACAATCCATGGTTGGTGTGTCCTTGCTGCTGACAAGGAAAAGTAAAATCTGCTAACTTGTTATGGGACTCATAACTTCTTACCCAACATAATTAGCATTTCATGGTTCCAAATAAGGCACATCTGTTCTCTTCGTATAGAACAAATATATATAGCTGACCATTTTGGAATAGGTAAACATTCTTCTCCCTTTCGCTATAACTGGTCAAGATGCATAATCTTAACTTTTTTAAAAAAAAAAAATTTGAACATGTCAAGCTAATAAAACTGAAATGTTATTAAAATTCACACAAGTACTGAAATTTCAATCATCAGTCGGTGTTTGTTGGAATTTCAATTACTTCCACTCTGATGAGAAAATCTTCTCAGCCAGGAAGATGAATCCTCAACATTACCGCAATTCATGCCTGTGGCTAATCAAAGCAACCAGATAAGCAGAAACGCAAGATTTGACTTGTTTTAGCTGTGACGCACACTACCCGGGCCATTCCACACTACATGCATCTGGAAAGTTATTTACTTGTTCCTCCAAATTTGTTCATCATCTTTGCAATCACAGGAGCCACCTTGGGATTTGCTTGATGTTTTGCAAGGTTGGCGGGGTTCTTCATCACTGCAGATCCAGAAGCCAATAGAAGATGAAAACTCAAACATGCAAAAAAAAAGAAAAAAATTAACACTTCATCTAAGTTTCCAACACTACTGAAGGCTGAATAGGAAGCCATCATATTAAACTTGATAATGCTTCTAATGATATACTTGTCCATAAACCCATCCACGCATCTTTTAAAATAAATAAACCAGAATTGTAAACCAGCATGATCTAAATAATATTATTCAAATCCTATTTTAATAACTTGTTGTACAAGAGAACCAAAATCTATACGTGGCTCAAACCCTTCAATTTGGTGTTGCATCTGTTTCTGGCACAGCATGAGACCAGTGTGGGATTGAAATGTACCTTTGACATTATATGAACATCTAACACTTGATGTAGAACTAAACAAATGTAGGCCCCATACCTAACTTGAGTAGTAAATGTTTATGAGGAATCTTTGGCAAGAAGTTGAAATAGACTCAGTATGATATTACCGTTTTTTGTATTTGCAAGTAATACTTGAATAGTAAATGTAATATTACTCGAATGGTTAGTGTATAAGTAAATTAGCATCACTTTCCTGTTTCTTCATTTTTACATATCAAACTGCCATCTTTTTGTGCTAGGTTCTATTTTATTATATGCCAGTATCATAGATTATCCCCATACCTAACTTTTAGGTTCTAATTGACCGACTTGTCAATGATCAGTTGTCATACTTCTCATTATAAATTACCAAGTCAGACAATTTAGATCTCCCATTCCTTAACCACCCAGACACCTGCACCAAGTAGACAATAACCTTGCAGGCAAAATTTTATCTAGTTAATTCTCCTTGGCTATGGGTATAAGCAAACAGAAGGAATTTTAATATGAAGTGGAATTTCTAAGACCAACATAGGGGATTAAAAAGGTAGTTAAACACAATATAAAAGCCCAACTTCGTTTATATACAATTGTTTCTCATCAATTGTTTAAAAAATACACTACATACATACATTCCATATTACTGGCTTCAAATTAAGACAGAAAACAGCACATGCATACCAAGATCAAGACAATTGATGATTGCTTAAGACTAACCTGCACTAAGAGCGAGAACTTTCACTACCAGTACAATCAATTCCCATATTAGGCAACCATGTTGGCCAAGCAGGAACCTCAAACAGGCAGGCTTTTCTTTTTTCTTTTTAATTTTTAAATGGAAGTCTGACACTACTCTTTTCCTTAATTGTAGTACTTTTTATCAAATAAAATTAAGGCAACTCTATAATATAACTTGTAGCTCAATCATTATCTTCATGATCGAAGAAGCACATGCATGAACAACATTTTCCAAATATAGGAAGATGCCTTAAAAAAATAAGCACATACAGAAGACTGACAATTTAAATTATAATGTTGTGGGGCTACCAATTCACATAATAAAAATCATGTCAAAGGACCATTAAAAAAATACTTGAATCAAGGTATATTCAAAAACCACACTGTCACATAACAAAAGCCAAGATGTCACAGGCAAAAAAAAAATTCTTCTTGAATAAGAAAATCTAAAGTAGTAGTTTTATTAGTATTAATATCCAAAGCAACAAAAATCAATCCTAAAACCTTTCTAAAATTATAGAAATAAAGAACAAAAAAAAACTCAAATGACCAGAATTATATTCCGGTTACTAAGTTATAGACCTACCATCTTATTTCTCTATTATTCCTTCAATCAAGAAAAGAGATCAGTTGAATAAGAAAATAATCAAATAGCAGGAATTTCTTATACCATTAACAGGAATCAAATCTCATAACTATCCTGGCTGTTTATATTACCAACCATGCTCACTCGATGAAATGTGGAAGGAAGCAGTAGCAATGGATGATACTACTGAAAGCATTCTTCTTTGGATGATAGTTACTGTAACTAACTGGTATTCTTGCCATCAGTATATTTAAAATGGTATTCTAACTCTTCTGACCCATTTTCTGGTTTCATTTCATTCCCCAAGGAATAAGAAGGACCTAGTTGTAGACACACCAAGTCATTGATCAGATAAAAACTAACCTTGCCGAAATATAGCAGGACCTGCAACCTAACAGTAAGCAGCCACAATTAGTTTAATAATGGTTAATTAGTTAATAGTTACAAATCTGGTCCTAGGTTTGTACTGCCTCTGGCAGATTTGTTTTCTTTTCTTTACTTTTCTGTAGATTTGCTTACTTTCTGTTATAGCTTTTGGTTGTGTTTGTTTTATTGAACAAAGGATGGTAAAAAAGGTACGGAAGGCAAAATGAGAAAACAAGAAATTTGTTAAGTCCTTGAACTCGACCTTTATCACCCTCATTCCAAAAAAAGAGTGGTGCTGATGACTTCAACGATTTCCTGTTTATAAGTTTGGTTGGATGTATTTACAAATTAATTGCAAACGTTTTTGGTTAGGAGACTCGCTAATGTTTTGGGGGAGATTATTGGCAAATGTCAACACACTTTTGTGGGTGGGAAGCAGATCCTAGATGCTATCATGGCTGCAAACGAAATAGTTGATGACTTATTAACCAATAATAGGGAGGGATTAGTGTGCAAACTTGATATGGAGTAGGTTTATAATCACATAAATTGGAATTTTGTTGATTACAGACTTGAAAGAATGGCTTTTGGCTTGAAATGGAGGAAGTGGATGAGATCCTGTGTTACAACATCTTTGCTGTTTTAATTAATGGGGGCCCCTCAAATTTCTTCATCGTCTCTAGGGGTTTAAGGCAAGAGGACCCACTTTCCCCTCTCATTTTTATAATCGTTATGAAATCTCTCAATGGGTTACTTAAAAGGACGAATGAATTGCTGCTCTGAGGGGTGTCTTGGTGGGGAAGGGGGAAAAAAGTACTGTTATTACTCATCTTTTCTTTGCAGATGACACTTTAATATTTTGTAACCCTGATCGGAAGAATCTTCTTCATTTGAGATGTGTTCTTCTATGCTTTCAAGCGGTTTCTGGACTCAAGATCAATCTCAATAAATCTGAATTTGCTAGAATTAGTTGTGATGGTGATGCACGGCCTTTCGCAAAAATTTTGGGATGTAAGGAAGTAAAATTTCCATTCAAATATCTTGGAGTGCTGTTGGGTGCCAAGTACGAAGACCAATCTACTTGGGAACCGGTAATCAATATGTTTGAGAAAATATTAGTGAATTGGAAGAGAGGTTTTCTTTCAAAAGTGGAAGATATACTTTAATTAAGAGTACTTTGGTAAATCCCCCGATCTACTATCTATCTACAATTACTATTCCCATGAAGGTGGCAAAAAGATTGGAATCCATTCAGTGTAATTTCCTTTGGGGTGATGGTGATGATGGTCATAAATATCACTTCGTTAATTGGGATGACATCAAAGACCCCGTCACTTTTAGGGGTTTGGATATCCGTTCTTTGGTTAAATTAAATGAAGCCCTTCAATGCAAATGGCTGTGGAGGTATTGGGATGACAAAAATAGTCTTTGGCGACGGATCATTGATGCTAGATGGGGGCCATATATGGTGAACAGCAAGGAACACAAAATTCTTATTCCTCATGGACCCACTTTGGCAGAAAATCGTGATGCAATGGCATCCATTCCGACAGTGCATTCAATGGAAAGTTGGTATAGTCAATCTTATTAATTTTTGGGAGGATGATTGAGCAGGTGAAGGGAGCTTAAGGAGCAGATTTCCCAGAATGTACAGCCTTTCAAAAAATAGAGATATGAATGTGGAAAATGTGTACCAGGTCTGTAATGGTAACATTGTGTGGTCTATTCATTTAAAAAGAAACTTAAATGATTGGGAGGTGGAAGAATTTAAAGATTTGCTACAGCTGTTAGATTCTCAAAGGGTTTCACAGTTTGATGATCAGATTGTTCGGAAATTGGGCAAAAATGGCGTATTTTCTGTCTCCTCTTATTATCAGTATCTGTGTAAGAATTTTGCTGCTGACAGTACTGTCTTCCCGGCAAATATCATTTGGAAGACGAAAGTGCCTTCCCACATGGCTTTTTTTAATTGGGAAGCGTGCTGGAACGGAATTCTAACCATTGACAGATTGAAATCCAAAGGCCGGGTCTTTGTTAATGGCTATTATTGTTGTCTTTTGGCAGAGGAAATGTGCAAACATCTGTTATTATGGTGTCCAACAACCTATAGTTTATGGTGTTTCATTTACGGACTTCTTGGGATTGATTGGGTGATTGTGGGTTCGGTTTGGGAGGAAGTTTGGGCTTGGGAGGGTCTACATATAAAAAGAAGCTTTGTTAACATTATCCCATTAATTATCTTCTGGATCATTTAGAACGAGAGAAATAAGAGAGCTTTTGATAGCGTTCAGAGTAGCTTAAATAGATTAAAAGATAGGTGGTTACATACTTTTGCATCAGTATTGTTAGGTCATGACATTAATAGTGATGTGCATGTTGGGATTGTCATTGACATGCTAACTTCGCCGTAAATACTTTTGTGTATGGGCGGTACCCCCGGTTTTTTGGTACCGTATTAATACATACATTACACTGTTTATCTTAAAAAAAAAAAAAGAGAAGACAAGAAATGTTTACCTGAATTTCAGAATAGAATCAGTAACCATTCTCTTATCTTTTCTCTAGTCTCTTCCCTCCTTTTCTTCTTCTACTCTTCTTCTCTTCTCTTCCCTAAACGGAAACCCTAAATTTCTTCACTGACCAGATTCAGGACCTAAGGATCCTGACAAGTACTACTGGGCTGTGACGACCAAGCTTAAGGATAAGAAGAACGGGCTTGAGGGTAGCTTAAACAAACCCCTACTGGTCTATAAACGCAAGGGCAATCTGACGTGACTTGTGGTCCAGGTATGAGTGAGAAATAAAATGAATTATTTGACATATAGCATTTAGTTATGGATTCCCTTTTCTGTTCTAACCATTTTATTGCATTTAGATTTTCTTATCAGAGTCGATGAAAAGGAATATATTAGCTATATAACATGATTCCTCAGGTACGATGAATGATTATCAGTAAATCTATCTAAATTCAGCAGCTCTTGCCAAATTTCTCTCTTCTCTTACTTTGTTCTTCTCATTTTCTTCTTCTCTGTCTTCTGATCTCTCCCTCAATTCTCCTATTTCTCTCATGCTAACTCTCGCAACCTCAGCTATCACTGGAGTACATGTTAAAGGCTCCTAATAGGGGCTTGACAGATCAGGAACAGATCACTCAAGAAAATAGTAAGTATAGTTGCTGACAAAAAGAAATGAATTAATTCCAAATTGAAATGTTGACCCAAATATTAAAATATCTCTTCCACAACCATGATATAAAGAGAGAGAGAGAGAGAGAGAGAGAGAGAGATAGAGAGAAGGAAAAGGAACCTACCATCCTGAAGCGCCGCCATAACCTCCGGATCACTAAATGCAGCCATTAATTCAGGGTCCTACTCAAAATGACAACAAGAAAAAAAAATCCAATAATTTCCACTGAAAAAGAAGAAATTACTCTACATTTTTATTAGGCAAATGATCACTACCAAAACAGTAGAGACGCCAGCCACATTTTCCCATTAAAAGAAATTATCAGTGATAGAAGCCAAATTCAAACATAGGACTCAACAATTTGTCCACAAAAAAATTCCAATAATTGGGACCAGAATTCTTACATTTAATATTTTGCTAAAATCAACATTCCCAGGCATCCCTCCTGGCATGCTACCAGGGAAACCTCCAGGCATACCTCCAGGAAAGCCACCAGGAATGCCTCCTGGAAAGCTACCAGGCATGCCTCCTGGAAAGCCACCAGGCATGCCTCCAGGTTTTCTACTTGAAGATGAGTCCTCTTGCTTCTTAGCTTTCTCATATGCAGCCTTGAAAAGTATGCACAAGAATATCAGAATATCAATGACCTATTACCATACTAAATCAAGAAGATTAAGCTGTATATAAACCTGAGCTTCAGCACGGCGACGCTGTCTTTCACACTCAATCTTTCTCTCTTCTCTCTCTTTGCGCAATCTTTCATACTTGCGGCGGTGTTCCTCAATCTTGTGTACATTGGGTTCGACCTGTAACTCAGGATGTTATAAGCTGCCAAGACATAAATAAACCCATACTTATATAACATAAAAAAACAAAACAAGAAAAAATTTGTCCAACTAGTGCACTATTTTTCAATGATGTTCCTAACATCTTATGATGCTTCTTTCAGGCATACCGTAGGCATGTCATAGAACATCACTTGGTCATATTTCTGAAGATGTGTGCTCAATAATTAAGACCCAAAAGAAATGGTTACCAACAGACAATATGCAGAAGCAATGACCCATGCTTGACAAATGGAACATAGTTTTTACATCATAAAATTTGATAACTTTCTCCACCTTTTTGCTAATAGACCAAGTGTAGTGTATGTTTTTATCCACTACTACATCATATAGTTTGATCATTGCAGAAGAATCAAACAAAGCATTATGTTATGCATCCATTTGCATCTTTCT